GGTCTCTAGCGTATGGCCCGATCTTTGGCTGTTGAGCCCGCAGCCCGGAGCGGGATTGAGGAAAGCCTTCAGCGCTCCACAGTGGCCTCCTACACCCTCTTCTTCAGTGGTTCTTTGGTGTGTTGCGTCCTGCTCACTCTGGGCTCCTGTTTAATGTTTCGTGACTTAGCGGTGCCCCTTCTGGAGGACCCTTCTGGAGGATGACGCTTTTGGAGGAGGGGATGCTCTGTGCAAGTGTCTTCACCCTTCCTTTTGCCCTCTCAACTCTCAGCAAGAGACTTTGAACCTATTAGGTGTTTCAGTGGCCTTAGAATCTCAAGAGGAGTATGCAAGAGGTGGGAGATGATGCCCAGGTGCTAGCTGGCCTTCGAGGTTTCTTAAAAAGCTGCTTCAGGGCCCTCCCCGGTGACTCAGAGGGTTAAAGCACAGCACTGAGAAGCTTATGCCACTTCCGCACGAGTTCCATCCCTGCCTGCCCCGAGGAGACATGGCTCGGCAGACCTCTCCTGACCCGCCCGCTGCTCTCCTCAGCAGTGTAATTCGTCGATCTGCCTACTCTGCTCCCCACTCTGTCTCTGGTGAATCATCTCACCCTCTTCATCTCTGGCCTGTACCCCAGTTCTGTATGAATAAATAAATCTTTTAAAAAATATTTTTTTAAAAGGCGGCTTCCTACCCTCCACTCCACCCCCATCAAAAGATTACCAGCACTGGCGATTGCGGTCAGACATGCCACTGACCGCAATCTGCAGACTGGAGAACTCCAACTTCACTTCAGTGGAACAATGCTTTTCAGTTGACCCAAGCAGCCTTTCGAAGCCCCTTTTTTATTTTGCCACAGACCTGGGAACTGGGATTATTAATACAGCGCCACTGAGGATTTTGTAAGACGTTTGCTGCCCCAGATCCAAGTAATCTGAGGAATGACAGTAAAATAGGAATGAAAATTTCTTTTGTGGTAGAGATAGGATCAATTATGCTTACCAAAGGAATTATGTGTAACAAATGCTTGCTGGGTTAAAGTGGGGGCTGGTGTTCTGCCTATTCTGGATTCTTAATGGGATTCCAGTTGCTTTTGGATTGGACATGGTGAGGTTAGCCAGGAGTCATCCATTCATTGTTTCATTCAACAGGTATTTACTGAGTACTCACTATGTGCCTTTGTTCTGAGTGTCAGTTCTGTCTTTTATCTTTTTTGAAGATTTGTATTCAACAATCCTGTTATTTTGTCATCTGTAAAAGATGATTAATATCTGCCCTATCACTTGAAATTATAGCGAAGATTGAGAAGATAATGTGTCTGACCTGCAAATTCTATAAACACTTGGTGCACCAGGCATGACTGAGTGCATGGCATTCCTTTACTCTCCAGTCATAGACTCACATTCTTACAAATTCTAGTAGAAGGCTGGAGAGTATTTAAAATCATATAACTATCTTGGCCACCAAGTCAGTTCTTAAATTCTGTCCAGCCCCATTGCCACAGTCCTAGTTCACTACCATTTCTTCCCATGACTGTCAACCTCCTGGTCTTCTGACTCTTTCATGGAAGTGTTAATGGTGGCACTTTTGAGATTAAAATTCTTTATTATCATAGCAGATAAAATCTAAATGTCCTGATTTAGGTCTTTACCTATTGTGCCACTCTCATCTGTTACCAACTCTTTCACGTAGATAAAGCTACCTCCTTGAGAAGATTCTTAATGTTTTCTGGGTTAATCAGGCTCTCCTTTATTTCTAGTTAGATAGGCAGCCACTACTCAATCTTGCAGATTCCAATGTAGTTTTCCCTGAGAGTCTTTTCTGCCTCCACTAAACACACCTCCTTAAGTTCCCCACCACTTTAGGCAAATTCAGAGATGCCGGCATGAAAGCAGGACTTGCGTTTGCATGTCTGGTTCCTCACTAGCTGTGAGCTCCTTGAGGGCAGGACCTTGTCTCGTTATGGTGATGCCTGCAACAATACTTGGTGTGTTCAAAGTTGGAATGGCCTGGACAGGATTCCTAATTAATCTCTCCAGGCCTCCTGTTCCATACCTGCAAAAAATTGTGCTAACACTACCCACTAATCATAATTACTGTCAAGTCTAACTAGCACAATGCCTGAGAAGCTCCTGGAATACAGATGACACTGAGAATAAATGGCTTGAATAATGGGCGCCCTCTTATGCCCTCTCTTGTGTATCTGTTTAATCAATTCAGCAGAACTCAGAAAAGAATGCTACTAATTATTTTACTATATGTCTACTAGGTTCTAAACACTGTCCTAGAAAGTGTTGCAGTTTTCGTGGTCTAAACGGGGGTCTTAATTGTGCATAGGGACAAAAGGACTGAGGAGTCAAACGCGTCGCTCACCGAGCGTTTCGTAAGGACCCAGTACACGTCATCGCTCGCTAACCGTGGCCCGAAAGCAAGCTCAGGCGCCCTCACCAAACTAACCCCATATCCTTGACTTTGCTTGCCCGACTCTTCCAAAGAGCGGTCAGCGGGAAGCCATGCCAGGCGCTGATAGCCACGCCGTGACAGCCAGGGGCTGTAGGGGCTGAAGGGCTCCGCCCACCTCGCCCACCCCGCCCACGGGGGGCGGACCCTCGGCGCGGAGCTGTCGTCACTTCCAGCGGACCCGGAAGCGTCGTTGCTCATTGGCTGCTGTAATTAGGAAGTCGTGATGGGCTTGAGTTTACCTTAAACCCTTGGCGGACCGTGGGCCCAGGAGCCGGGCGGGGCCTGCTGTGGCCTGAGGAGCGTGGACAGCAGAGCGTCTGCTGGGCTGGTGCCGGCGTGCCCCGGCGGTGCGTTCCTCCGGTGCCGGCGTAGTCCCGCCTTCAGTTGGGGACCCGCCTCCTCCCGTCCGGGCCAGGCTGCCCAGCCTCAGCGTATCCGGCGCGTATCCGGCCTCCGACAGCTGGGGAGAGCTGGCGAGCAGCCAGCCAGCTCTCTGTCGGTGGTTTACATACCCGACCAGCGTCCTTTCCACCCTCCTCAGGGCTTCCCGAACGCTGACGTGGAGCACCCGGCTCTGAATCCCTATGGAGAAGTTTGGGATGAGTTTCGGGGGCGGCCCGAGCAAGAAAGACCTGCTGGAGACCATAGAGACTCAGAAGAAACAGCTCCTCCAGTACCAGGCACGTCTCAAGGATGTGGTCCGTGCCTATAAAAGCCTGTTGAAAGAGAAGGAGGCTCTCGAAGCCAGCATCAAGGTGCTGTCAGTATCCCACGAGGCGGATTTGGGCCTTGCAGGTGTCCAGCCTCCTGGCCTCTCCTTTCCTGACTCCGTGGACGATCGGTGCTCCACTCACAGCGAGGATAGTACTGGGACCGCCACCAGCTTGGATACTGCAGCCAGTCTCACCAGCACCAAGGGTGAGTTTGGGTTAGAAGATGACAGACTGGCCCGTGGACCACCACCTCCAAAGTCTGAAGAGGCCAGCGGGTCAGAGAGTGGTGTTAGCAGTAGCAGTGGGGATGGGCTACCTGGGGGTGGAGAGGTAGATAAACGGCTTCACCAGCTGAAGACTCAGTTGGCTACTTTGACCAGTTCACTGGCTACAGTCACCCAGGAGAAGTCTCGCATGGAGGCTTCTTACCTGGCTGACAAGAAGAAGATGAAACAGGACTTAGAGGATGCTAGTAAAAAGGCAGAGGAGGAGAGAAGCCGCCTGGAGGGAGAATTGAAGGGGCTGCAGGAGCAGATTGCAGAAACCAAAGCGCGTCTTATCACACAACAGCATGATCGGGCCCAAGAGCAGAGTGACCATGCCGTGATGCTGCGAGAACTCCAGAAGCTGCTGCAGGAGGAAAGATCCCAGCGCCAGGACTTGGAGCTTCGGTTAGAGGAGACCCGGGAAGCCCTGGCCGGGCGAACATTTGCAGCTGATCAGATGGAAGGGTTTGAGCTGCAGACCAAACAGCTGACTCGTGAGGTGGTGGAGCTGAAAGGTGAGCTGCAGGCTCTTCGAGATGAGAAGAGTCGGCCAGATCCCCTGCTGCAGGAGCTTCAAGAAGAGGCCGCTTGCCTCAAGAGCCATTTCCAGGCTCAGTTGCAGCAGGAAATGAGGAAGGTAATCATCTCCTTCAGACATTAGTCATTTAGCCTTAAGTGGGAAATAAATTAGGGTGTTTTCTCCTTTGGTAGTTACAACTAAGTGACTGCACTGACAATTTTGATACAGTTCAAAAAGTTCCACATGTGTTTCCTGGGAAATCCTGTTTTGTGCATTGTTGACAGTATCCAGAGTGTGCTTCCAACAGGATATGGAGTTTCAGGGTGTAGGCTGGGCGGCTGCCAGGCAGCTCTGGCTTCTGGGCATCAGCATCTGACCACTTGTGCTTTTGGAAGCAGTATAGTGGCAGCTGTGCAGTGTGTGTGTGTGTGTGTTTCTTTTTTCCAGGTGGTATATATTTTTATAGGCAAATGCCTATACATGTATGTCTATAGGTAATGTGGCTGAAGGGGGCAAGGGTAATTTTCTTAGAAGAAATGCCTCTTATAATTACTTTCAGTCAAAGATATGCTGTTTGAGTGTGACAAGAGGCCCAAGGCACTTTTGAACTTCCAGGAATATCAGAAGAGGAAAAGAATATAATACAATTTCTTAATAGGCTTTGGGGAAGCAAACAAGAGTGACACTCTTGATATGTGAGCTCAGTGTATTGTAGGATAAAGTAGGGGCATTAAGGCACAACACCAGCCCCACAAAGTTGCTTAATATTACTTGGAATAACGTGTGTCTGGGAGCAGAACCTGAGCAGGTTACAGGAACTTTTAGTTTGCTTCTGAATCAACAGAAAAACCCCCAGTGTCCATTCGTGTTAGGCTAACCCACACTTATAATCATCTCACTCTCTTTACTTTCTCAAAGTTTGCTCTAGGGCTGTGTGACTTTTCTGGATGCATTTCTATCTGTCCCCTTATTTTACAGACTGCTCTTGCCGAGGACCAGCTGCGCCAGCAATCTCAGGTGGAAGAGCAGAGGGTGGCAGCCCTGGAGAATCAAATATCTGAAGTGTCAGAACTGCTGGGCACTTATGAGAAAGCCAAGCAGAAAGACCAGCTGACCATCCAGAAGCTGAAGGAGCGCATTCTGCAGCTGGACCTGGAGAACAAGACGCTGGCCCTCGCAGCCTCTAGCCGGTCCCCTCTAGACAGCCATGGAGAGGAGTCCACGCTAGACGTCAACGTTCTGAGGGATAAGATGGAGAAGCTGAAGAAGCTATTGCAGGTCGCTGCCAGGAAAAGCCAGGTGACCCTGGATGTGGAGAAGCTCTGTGACTTAGAGATCATGCCCAGCTCAGAGGCTGCTGATGGCGAGAAGGCCACTGCACTCTACTACCAACAGGAGCTGAAACAGCTGAAGGAGGAGTTTGAGAGGTACAAGACAAGGGCCCAGGTCGTCCTTAAGAACAAGAACACCAAAGACGGCACTCTAGCCAAGGAGCTGGAGGAAGCTCAGGAGCAGCTCGCCGAGCTGAAGGAGAAGTACATCTCTCTGCGGCTGTCGTGCGAGGAGCTCGAGCGGCAGCACCAGCAGGAGGCCGAGGACTGGAAGCAGGAGCTGGCCAGACTGCAGCAGCTCCACCGGCAGGAGCTGGAGAGGAGCCAGCTGGACTTCAGGGACCGCACTCTGAAACTGGAGGAGGAGCTGCACAAGCAGAGGGACCGCGCTCTGGCCGTGCTGGCTGAGAAGGACTTGGAGCTGGAGCAGCTTCGTTCTGTGGCCTTGGCATCTGTGTTGCCAGGCCGCAGGAGCCCTGTGGGTGGCAGCAGTCCTGGGGACACGGCTGACCCATCTTCCCCAGACAGCCTGACCCACGCACTACAGCTTGCTGCGGCCAATGAGCCCACTTTCTTCCTGTACGCAGAGCAGCTGGCCCGCAAGGAGGTGGAGATCACCTCGCTGAGGAAGCAGAAACACAGGCTGGAGGTCGATGTGCATCAGTTGCAGGATCGGCTGCTGGAGCAGGGGGAGCGGCATCGAGAAGAGGTTGGAGCCCTGCAGAGCCACATTGAGAAGAACATCAGGGACCAGAGCAGGGAGGGAGCCAACCTGGAGTACCTCAAAAACATCATCTACCGCTTCCTGACCTTGCCTGACACGCTGGGCCGCCAGCAGACGCTCACCGCCATCCTGACTATCCTACACTTCAGTCCAGAGGAGAAACAAGTGATAATGCGGCTCCCAACCGGTGGTGGCTGGTGGCCTTCCGGCAAGAGATGATGCCATTGTCACTGACTCCTGAAATTTCTGTGCCTCTTAAGTGGGAAGGGACAGGCTCTGGTTTCTGCCGCCTCTTCTCTCACTTTATCGTTTATTTCTTCACTGTGTTCAACTGGGAGGAATCTTCAGTGTGGGATGGGATTTTTCTGCCAAATGCCATTAATGCCACTGTATCCTTGGGCCCTACAGATAACTTGAACTGCCAGGGCTGCATCTTCTGGTGTTTGTGAGGGCTCTCAGGAGAAAGATTATGAAAGGTTATTGGGAGGATGTGAGAATCTTTTAAAATGCAGGTTTTTGTTTTACTGCTATGCTCCTGGTGCAAAGCTAGGAGTAAATGTGACTCCCAGGGGAGTTTCAGTTACTTTGTCCACACGTGCATGGAGTGGCTTTCCACTCCATCGCATCACAGTCCGTGTCTGATCCCCTGCTGTCCCAATTCTCTGGGGGAACCAAGAAGTTTCAAATAGTGACAAGACTGTTAGTCAGAAGGACCAAAGAACAGTGAGTTGTTCCTTGTCTAGTGAGGAAACGTTTGAGGGTGACTTCTATCAGTCACCAAAGCACACCACTTGTGACCAGCCAAGGGCCCCATGTGCCAACTTGATCTTTGGGGTTACCTGAGTGACCTGCTTTGGGCCTGGGTTATAGTAGATCCCTTGGACTTAACCCTGCCTTAAACTGCCCACCTAAAGTTGGCCTGAGAGTGTGAGTAAATAATGTTTTGTTCTCTCCCAGTGTTGAACTTCCATTAAGAGAACGCTAGCTCCTCTCCGAGAAGGGTTCCAGTCAGGAAGCTCTGATCCTGCAGGAGATGAGGTATTGATGCAGAGATTTGCCCCTTTTGTTTCTGCCTCAGTATGCACAAGGAAGAAGAGGGAGCTTTGCTGCAGAGGATTTCAGAAGATTGTCATGACCTCCCAGGAAAGTGGTGGAAGTTCAGCCCAGCCTGGGCCGGTCTCCTTCAGCCCCAAGGCATTTTGGCTCAATATCCTGTCCCTGCAGCAAAGTGCTCATTGTTACTTTCACTGGGGTATTTTGCCTGTTCCTGGAGGGGGGGTCATTGGCTTAGGGAGTTTCAGGCCACAGTTCTCCCCGACACTTCTTTCCTCCTTCCTGGAAGTTTTGTGTATTTGGTCTTATGAAGTGGATTCATCTTGTACTTAGGAAACTTAGGAAGCGTTTTATCCAGGAAGTCTGGAAAGGAAGGGCCAGAAAAAGCAGGTGGAAGCTATCATTTTCCCTCTTCTTTCATTTCCCTGGTTTTAGAGCTCTTTGGACCTAAAGATCAGTGCTTTGCCACTCACTGGACTAACATGTACTTTTGTGTTATGTTGTCAGAGAGATCTGTTTTGTGAGGGTTTGGGATGCAGATGACTTTGATTAAATGTTCTGATTGGGATACTGGGTGACTTAGACTATCTAAAAGCAGGGAGCAGACTTCTGGAACAAAAGTGAAGTGTTCAAATGATAGCAACATAAACCATGGAATCATTAAACTTGAACAGCTTTACCTGTCTGCCGCTGTAATGGTGTGAATGTACCTGGACACACACAGGGAGGTCATGTAAAGGATGGGAGTACTGACTCACTCTGAGGGCAGGAACCTGATTCTGGGGAAGAATACAAGTCTCCCCCTCCACTCCCCCCCCACCCCCAACTTTAACTATAGCATGTATTCCTTATTCCTTCTCTGGAAGTGTGTGTATGTGTTTGTGTATTTAGGCAGCTACACCAGAAAACACTTCTCATGGGTTAGGTGGACACCTTGAGATTTCCATAATTCCTGTCTTAAGCTTTTGAAGTAATCTGTGTATGAATGCCTTGTTATGCTCAAAATCAGGATGGATGGTATCTTGGAAAAACAGAACATCAAGCAAAACTAAATAATAATAAGTAATGCCTTTTTAATTTGCCTACCTGGTCTCCTTTAACATTGGATATATGATTGCTGTTATTTCTAGATGGCTTAGGACAGGAATGAAAAGGTTCATAGTCATACTTGCTTTCCTAGGAATAATCATTCCTATGTTTTGACTTTTGAGAAGAGACCAGACAGGAAGAAGCAATTTCTCAGTAACTTTACTGTCTGGACACAGATTATGGGTGCTGCCAAGTGAAATTAAAAGACTTGGTCCTTCCTAACCTTAAGGGCACGTAGAGCCTCAAACTAGACATCAATGCAGACCCTCAAAGTTTCCCATTCCTCATCTCTCAAATAAGTTTTCTAGCTATTTGACTGGTTAGTCCACTCTAGAAAAGGAAATGGAAAGAAAGAAAAAGAAGCAATCAGAAAATAATGTCTCTGAACTTAAAATTTCCCCCAAGGGGGGGACTAGTAACTATTTGAGGGTATAATCCCCGATGAAAGAAAAATGAGTTACCTAAACAACCAGCAGAGTCCCTGAGACAAAGTAGGTGCTAAACCGGCTTGGTTTGTTTTCCAAGAATGTTAAGAGGCAGAATTGGAAGTTAGATTGAGCACTTCTGGCGGTGAGTGCAGTGTTTCTGAACCACAACTGTTTCTATAAACAAAAGAGAAACTAACCACTGGCTTTTAGCAAGTGCCTGATAGTGAAGCAGACTACTGGCGTCTTCCGGCCGTATTTTACTTATTTCTCTTACAGTCTCATGAGGCCCAACAGTATTTTACTTATTTCTCTCACAGTCTCAAGCGGCCAGTCTATTTTGTAGATGAGGCCATGGAGGTTTGGCCGTAGGAAGTGACTCGTTCAAGGCCCAGAGCCAGGAGTGGCAGTACCAGGATTTGAACAGGCTTAAGTGAGCCAAGTGGCCCAGACCCTCTGTTGCCTGTGCTGCCTTCTGGCAGAGGAGAACTTGCTGCTGGCTAAGAAGCTGAGGGGCTGCGTTTCTAATATTGCCTGGGGAAGAAGGGACCCCTTGTCCAGACAGTCTTCTCTTTAGCGTTAACAGCTTTTTTATTTCTCAGAAAGCTGCTCTCTCAGATTGCATACTCTGCCCTGTGCCACACAAGTCAGTTTTATGTAAGTTTGAGTAGTGAAATCCTTGGGACCCAGATCTGGATAACTGAAACGTCAGAGAGTGCAACAAACCCACTGCACAGAGCCCACAAAATACAGCCCAGTTGGAGACCAATGAGACCCACATGTAGGAAGCCTGGCTCTTGACTTTAGCAGGGAGCTCATCTCTGGTCAGTGCCAATTCATCTGCCTCCAGGGTCCACTGCCAATGGATCACACATTGTCTTTCATATAGAGAGAATGACTCTGAAAGTTCATACTGATATACGGGATATGAGTTTGGTTTAATATGATTACATAAAGGTTTCATTACCTGAGGCTGCGTTGACCACGGTCAAAATATTGGGGGGGGGGGTGTGTGTGTGGTTAGTATATAGAGTGGGTCCACTGTCTTTCTTTAGTTTAATAGCTATTAGGCCTTTGGGAATGAGGCCTCAGATGGTGTCCTGCACTATCCATTGAGATGTCCGCCCAATGTGGTACCTTGGTCAGCTGAGAAGAGGATTGAAGGAGTCTGAAGGCTACTCTTACTTGTGTATGTGTTGAATGCTGTACACCTGGTAAGTTTAAGTTTTGTGAAACTAGTCTCTTGCACACTGTTGTCTCTACCCTCAAAGTCCCTCCCCCCATCCATCTCAACCCCCTGCAGTAAAGATCCTATTCTGGAGCCCTCCCTGGTGGTGCAGCTCGTTAAACACAGCACTGTGAAGCTATTCACAGCCACTGCAGCACAAGCTTGATCCCCAGCCAGGGAGTGACCCACATGGGGTGGTAAACCTCTTCTGTCTCACCCACAAAGATGTACTTCATCCATTTGCCTGTTCTGCTCCCCACTGTCTCTGGTGAGTCCTCTCACCACCCCTGCACCTCTGGCCTGTTCCCCAGTTCTGTATGCATAAATAAATAAAGGTCCTATTCATTGAAATAATGCAAGTAAATTAAAAGACTCATTCTGTTAAAAAAAATAATAATAAAGGTCCTATTCTGGCAGACTCAGCAGAAAAAAAAGACACTTCCTCCATGCTGATTTTTCTGCTCCCCAGCAATGCTCAGGCACTTCCTTCTCAGAGGTTCTTCAGCACTTTGTTCACATGACCTTGGGCACCATGGTTAATACTTTCTGTTTAATATTTTCTTCTCTGTTTCTTGGGCCATCCTACAAACCCCTCAAAGTCATGCCTCACACCCTGTTCATCTTTGTGCTCTTGGGAGTTTCCCTAACCTGGCACATACTATGGTCTCAATCAATAAGAGATTGAAATACCAGCCTTGCATCTTCAGACATACCTGCTATTTTTCTCATTAGCCACTTTAGTGACTACTCTAGCTTTCTAGAAATAGGACCACAGTTGACTTTATGCAAAAATCAATCTATTTTGCTGTTAGAGAATTTGGAAAAATAATCCTGCTCCATCAGAGTCCCTTCAGAGTCATGAGGATGACTGCTGAGAAAATACAGATGTGGCAGGCAGGTGTTTTGAGGCTTGAGTGCAAAGCCAAACTTGAGCTTCAGGTGTTACTTTTTTTTTTTTTTGAAAGGTTTATTTATGCATACAAGGGCTGGGATATAGGCCAGGAGAGCAGGGGTTAGGGATGAGAGGATTCACCGGAGGTGGAGTAGGGAGCTGAACAAGCTGAGTGACTGAAATACACGGCTGAGGGTAAGAACGGGTGAGACCAGAGAGGGCTTTTTGTGCTATGTGCTTTGCTGCAGTGGCTGTGGCTAGCTCCATAGTGCTGAGACTTAACCTCTCACGCCACCAGGGAGGCCCCAGGTGTTTCTTTTGGTGAGGACCCTAGCTTCTGTCAGGAAGTCCTTCAGTGTGTCCCTGTTATCTGTGAAGCCCCTGTACTCAGAAAGACCCCTGTATTCTCTCTGCTCCCTAGGTTTCATCATGATCAGGAAAAAAGTTGATTTCTTTTACTGAATTTATACTTGGTCCTCTAGATCAGCTCAACTTTTGGAGAGGAACTCAACAAGATATGCTTGCCTGGAATGAAGCTAGGAGTTGAGTGGCACTTTTTCTTTAAAATCTTAGTAGGGAGGCCCTCCCTGGTGGTGCAGCGGGTTAAACCACAGCGCTAAGAAGCTAAAGCCACTTCAGCATGAGTTCGATCCCCATCCCGGAGGTGACCCACATAGCACAGCAGACCTCTCCTGATCCACCCGCTGCTCCCCTCAGCAGTGTACTTCTCAGTCTGCCTGTTCTTCTCCTCACTCTGTCTCTGGTGAATCCTCTCACTGCCCCTGCACCTCTAGCCTGTACCCCAGTTCTGTATGCACAAATAAATAAAGCTTAAAAAAAAGTCTTACTGGAGAGTGAGTGTTCCAGAAGCCCCTTCAGCACCTTGGTCAGTACCTGTGCATGACAGGGTGGTCAGTGTCGGTGCACACATGGATATGGAAGAAAACAGCGTTTGACAGCGAATGAGCCATACATTGCAGACACCTGGGCCAGAATCACTCACATCAGCAGTCCCTGGTCAGTCAGCCATTAGGATGACTCAGACCATATCTAGATGCTGTAAACGCCCCAGAAGTGACTTGTGATCTTTCTCAAGTTGCTGTGACCGAGTTGGCCGAGAGTTCTTTCTACAGGACCAGAGCCTGATTACTGGCCACAGGACTTCACTGACTTGGCCTGATGATCACTGCTCCTGCATCCTCTCTTCCTTCTCCCTTTCAGCAATGCTGCTTCTCCAATAAAAATGGTAAACTGCCCCAGAGTTGCTTACAGCCTGTTGGGGTTTACACAACATGTTCATCCAAACTCTGATATCAGAAGGACTCTGTACACTGAGTGAAATGGGCAAAGATCATGGGTGCAGACAGTGCAGGAAGTGATCTGGGGTAATGAGGGTAAACTTCAGACAGGAACCTGTGTGCTGTTGCATCTAAGGGGTCTTGAGGGAGGATCTGACCTCGATCAGGTGGTTTAGGTGGAGAAGTACATGCCACAAGAAGAAAGGCGTGGACCAAAAGGTTGGACTGTGCAAGCCCATTGGGTGTGACATTAAGGGAGTATAACATTTATGGAGTCACAGGATGTTAGCTATGAAAGGGATATATCAGTGCTTATTTGATCATGCTCCTCCTTATCGGAAGAGGAAGCCAAGGCTTGCACAGAACAAAGCGGCTTTACCACAATTTGTGGTTTATGACTGAAGTAGAAGCTTTTGTCCAGAGTAAGGGGTAGTGGCTGGATGATAGGCAAAGGGGGCATCAGATGCTTGGGGGGGTTGTGGACTGTGGGTGTTTGTGAGCAGAATAGCAACAGGCACAGAGTTGGGGGGTGCAGTGAGAACAGCAGACAGCAGCTGTGAATCTTCTCTCTCCCTTCCTGCAGCCACTCCTGGGTCTCTGCCTTTTCCCTTCTTGTATCTGGGAAAAGGGAGAGAACTACTAGGATGATGATACTGATTTGTCCAAGTGAGGATTACTTACCCAAGAATACTCAACTCATGAGGGCTAATGTTTATGGATCTAAATGTTCACCCATCTATGGGTGAAGCCTGA